TATTGAAGACGTCTCTATCTGCGAAGATTGTCCGGGTATAAATGCTATTTTGCAGTCGCCATGAAAGTTCTAGCTTCCGAATTTAAGAAAGTTGTTCTGCAACTTTTTGAAAGAACCGCTCTAGCCTATCCCGCAAAATGATAAAGCCACTCCCTTATTTTCCTCCTTACTTTTTTCCCTGCTCGATCAAACTTTTTTATTGTTATCATCACTTGTTCTTTGGGTGAAAACAAGAGGGACATTGTCATCAGAATTTGAACAAAGGCAAATGGTAGCAAAAACGTGAAGAGTTGAGAAGGCAGTCACACTGCACGAATTTCGGGCCAAGTTTGCTTTGGAGTAAACAGTTTTTTTGTGCACTGTGCAGGATATGGAGTAAAATTGAAAATCGAAAATTCTTCTCTGCCTTCGGATTCAGGTAAACGCCGCCTCAGAAGAAAATCAAGCAATTCCGTCAAGTTGTGCTCGGAAATTAATCCCTTATTTGAATCTCAATTCCCCGACAGGTGTCCGTTCGGCGTGAATGACAGAAGTGCAAGTTCTCCACAAGTGGAAAATGCAAAACGCACTGTTTATGACAAGAAAACATCTCAAAAAGTGAAACAGTTTGGTCAAGAAGTGCGAGCGATCAAGTTGGAGTGAGTCATTTTTCTGTCCGTAATTCTGACGACTCGTTAGCTTCATTTTTCTATTATCGTGAGCAAGATTTAGAGGTTGTATCCCAGATGCAATTGCAACGACACTCGCGGGCCTTTCCTGGGTGTGATAGATGGCATCGGTCGTAAGACTTAAGAAATCGATGCCATCTATCAAGGAATACTGGTCTATGCATTGGTTGGCATCGGGAAATCATTGTGCAGACCAGTTCGCACTCAAATGCAGCCAACTTTTGAATGGAAACCGAATGCGTGGCGCATCTTAATTAGAATTGATCCACGCCCTGTTCTTCACACATGGCCTTCTGTATTCATAGATAACAAGGGTACCGCAGAGCTGTACCCAAGCAACTGAAAAGTTTGGGTACGCTTGATAATTTCACGTTGAATTTGCGTTTTCGCTTCTTGTGCCTTTTTAATTTCATTGTACCGCCTTGTGTGTTTTGGCTGCAGAATACGCTTCCATCCTCCGCTTTCGAGGACTCTTCGCCTTCTTCTCCCTAATTGGCGACATTTTTGCGCGCTTTTTAATGAGAGCATCTCTGCCACTGTTAGAATGAGGGCCAGGGCATGTCCTAAATTAGCGGAGCATGCAATTATCTGCAGATGAACTCTTGTCAAAATGGAGGACCGCGTTTTTAATTCTCATTGCATTGATGATTCTCGAGTCTGCTCTTTATCCCTCTGGCAATGACTAAAAACCTTCTGGTAACTTGTTATTCCATATAATATTTAACGAAAAATACATTCTGCGATACAATCATTAAGGCACCTTCCTCTTCTTGAAGATGAAGGCAAATGACAACAAACAAAACATAACTAAAGGCACAACTCAGGGAGAAGTCGTGTGAACGATTCCCTTCAGTCTGTAGGATAGACCACTTGAGGACAATCACAGATGTGGCACTCCCGTGCATGGAACTGCCCGACAAGAGCGCTAGGGCCTTGCAAAGTGGGCTGCAGAAGCTGCAATTTTTCCATGTTATCGTCTTGCACTCTCTCACCTGTTGCCCTCTTTCTCACCTCAAGCTCTTCCCTGTGCGCTCAGTCTCTCCTTGCTTCCATTGTCTTAGCATAGCCGCATGCATAACTGAAGTGTGCAATCCCTTAACTTGAATGTTTTCAACAAGTTTTTCTTTCTTTTCCTTTAATGCGGCTCCATTTCGCGCCAGTACGCTTCCCACCTCATGTGTATGAACAACACCACGGTTCTGTGGTACGCGTAGTAAAAGTCTCAGGCGCTTCTCTATTGTTCCCATTCCAAGAACAGCAGATGTCACCCGTACTTGTGGGACTGTCAGTGGTCCCATCTGTCCATCAAGATCAGGCGGTCGAATCTTGATAAAAGACAGATTGTCCCCTTCATTCGTTTACTTCATCGCTTTCCCAGAGTCCCTTCGACAATACAACAAGTAAAAGAAATCATCTGACAAGTTTTGATCGACATTTGACCAAGTGGTGAAGAGCTAGGCGTGTCGTCTAACCAGCGTGCAACCTTGCCCCATTCGCCGACAAAGACCCACCCGGCTTATGTCGTTTATCAAAAGGCATCATGGCTTAGCCGTATCAGCGTCACGTTGGTTCTCTCATCCCTACAAAAGACGAATGCCGCTGACGCTGGTGCGCTCGAATATTTCATAGTTTGTAGTGGAAATATATATATTTGTCCTATCGTTCACTTCCTCATCAAAAATTCCTTCAGTACCACCAAGTCTCTTCCGGAAATGGTGTTCACCACCAAAATTCACCAATCACCTCTCTTTCACCCGTCCCTGAGTCCTCATTTTCCTTTATTCTTTAGTCTCCGCACACTTTCCATTCAATGGTTTTCGTTGCCAATTTCGTCCTTCCTGGAACTCCCATTATTCTATATTGGTGTGCTCCACCCGCTCCCTTTTCACTATGGTTGAAAGTCCCATGCAACTTGGTTTCGCTCGGAGTTTTCTTCCCTTTGTATTTTCTGGATTCAAGGTCTATGGGCGGAAATAGTGCAGTGACGCAGCTTACCATGCGCACGTTCCCGGGATCAAGTCCTAGGTCGTATCTCGTTTGAACCAGCCAATCCTTCCATCCCTCCAGGAACGGTAAGGCAGCGATTACGATAAAGAGGGAGCGCATTGGGAAGCATATGCACCACACGAAGCAGTTACTTGGCTGCCAAGGAAGCGAATGTGGCGCTTTCACGACGAAAGGTGCGCTGGTTGCTGAGCAGGACTTCGAAAGCACTCCGCCCCCAAAAGCGATCCGCCCACTAGTTTACTTGTTGATTTGGACGAGCTGCGGCCAGCAGCGGCGCAAATGGAGCATCTCGATTAAAGCGTGTTTGGCATGGTGCCATCAAACGCGTTGCGGTGAACTCGTTCATACGTCCACTTTCTGAGCTGTTACCTGTTCATGAGTGAAAACCAACGGCCAAAAAAGGGGTCCCGTTTTGCGTTTTCTTTGACGGATTTTTCTGCTTTTTTCGCCACTGGCGTACCATTGAGCACCACCACGTTACATGAGCTCTTCTTGAATTTTTCGTAATCGTTGCCTTCAATTGGTATCAGACTTGTACAGGAGGGCAAAACACTGTCTTGTACATCGGCTGGCCCCTGCAAGTCATTGTATAGGCCACATCGCATTCAAACGCCACTACGAATGTACAAATGGAAGTAGAATGCGTGCCGCATCCCGAAATCGGATCCAACGCTGAATGCTTTATCGTTATCCTCACCCTTATCATTGTATGTTTTGTTTAAATCAGATATGCCCTGGAAGATGTCTACAATGTAGTTTTTTTTCGTAAAACTCTTTGCCTTGATCCTAAGAGTCATAAGCCCCATTCGAGGCTTATCGGTTCACAGAACCACGTTAGTCGGATCTTGTGATAACACATTCCGATAATTCTTGCCATCGAAGGCATTCTTGAGCTTCTCGTAGCGCTTATTCAACCTGTGTAAGACTCAAGAATGATATGTTCCTTGGTGAAAACCGGAATGTGTTATCGTAAAATCCGATTGGCGTGGTTCTGTGAACTGATAAGAGGGTACAGACGGGGCTTAGCAAGATTGAGACAAGGAATTCAGCGAAAAAGCAAGGTTTTGAAGCATTTGAGACCCCTTTTTGAGCAGGACACCCCTTTTTTAGTCCTGTGTCTTTCATGTCGAAGAGAAACCATGTGAAAGGTATTACAATACAGTCCATCATAGGACCTGCGGCACACAGCCGACATTTTCCACCTTGACCATCTGTTCGAATAAACTTTGCATTGAGGTCGCATGTTTGAAGTCTTCCCAAATCACGACCTGCCCGTGGTCCTAACTGACAGCTGAAATGATACTCAAACTTCTGGACCCGTAATAGCTATACGCCTGATCCCATAGAAGTCGACCCAATCTTTTCTGAGCAAATGATTTTTTGTGGGTCAGCTTTTTGAGGAAGCAGCCCCTCCAAGCAGTGAAATGTTGGATATCTGAATGTAGCCTACAAAATGGCCTTCAAAAGTCCAGCTATGTTTAATTGCTCTTCTATTCATAACAAGTGATGCACTCAAGCAACTGGTGTCCCCCCCCCATTCCTCTATAAGAAAACAAGTTGAATAGTGAAAAGTGCCATGGGCTGCGTAAGTGGCAAACCCTCTGCGACGACCTGTCCCTGCCGCTTGTCAAAAAACTTGTCTAACCTCCGAATCTCTGAAAGCACACTTTCCTTGATGTTAATTGCCCTGAATCGATACTCCACCTGGCTTGTCAGGAAAAAAAAATGTCGAATACCATTGTTCAGCAGAATCGTTTTGTCACCGTCGAGCTTTTCTGCGTAGTCCTCATCCAGTTGTGGACCGCAGTACTTCGTTCATCTCTTCATCTTCGGCCTTTTCTTCCCTCTTCTTCTTCTTCTCTCCTCTTTCTTCTTGACAACTTATCAATTATTCTATGAGTACTAGAATGTATGCTGTTTTATGGGTCCGGAAAGTGTGACAAAAAGGAAGCGTGAGAAATGGTAGAACAAATCGAGCAAAATCCTCCACCACAACGTGGCAGTGTGGTGCACCAGGTGGACCACGCGCCCCGCAACGGGTGAATGTTCCATATTTATCTCAGTCGGGAACGCCTTTTTTACAGGTATGCGAACGTTAGTATCTCTGGTGTCGTTTCTAGCAGCGATTTGTGCTGGGGACGGGTACAACTACTATTGGTGAGTTCCTCGCTATTTTGCAGTCAACTCTGCAAAGCACTTCGGTGGATATTTCCACCTCTTTCTCAAACTTTTTTCTCTTTCTGAACAAGGAAATCTTCTGGCCATTAACAAGGGTTTGTTCATTTAAGGTATGACAAGACTCAAACGCTGTCGAACAGGCAGACTATGGTCCACCTGTTCGAATGGAAATGGCCAGACATAGCTGCAGAATGCGAAAATTTCCTTCAACATTACGGTTATGGAGCAGTTCAGGTAAATAATGAACCACTGAAGTGAGAAACCAGGGTGGGCAGGAAAAGTGAGGTGGCCGCAGTAGAATCCTCGAGAAATTTGTCACCGCTGAGACTTGGTTTGTGAGGAAGGAGAAAAAGGGCGCTGGAGGAGATAATGCAAAACTATTTGTGTGTATTTGTTAGCTCCAGTAAGCCATGCGCACTGGCGCTACGGTGCTAAATAGCACTGGAATAACGGATACTTACGGTGCGGACAGCGGTCACAAGTTTTCGCTGAAGGGGAACTCCATGCACTGATTTGTCAGGATGTAAATGTAGGCAGAGTACCGACAGGCGAGACACGTCGCGCGGCGAGAAGGCTGAGACGCAGATAGGTTGGCGGACGAGTGCAGCGCGTACTGTGTGATGTGGGACGTATCATAATGTACCGTATTCAATTTGACGCTATTTCGCTACAGTACGTGCTACGACTGGTGCTCGTTCGCATCTCTGACTTCTGCTGCGAGGTGGGCCCCCCGTCGGATATGCAGAAGATGAGACTGTGAAAAAAGGTACAGCAAGCTTTATACCACTACTGCACATTTCTGAATATTTTGTACGATCAGTTTTTCAGATTTCTCCACCAAATGATCACATTACCCTTACTCAGGACAACGACATGCCATGGTGGGTGAGGTAAGTACCTGAAAAAAGCATAATAAATTATCAAGAACCTCTATTTATCTTTCGATGCGTGATACAATAGTTCAGCGCTACGTAACAAGCACTCAAGTTAACACTGAAGTGAGATAATTGTGTCTTGATACCCGTGTGTGTTAGTGGAGACCCTCGACGGCTACCGGCTTGTTCTTCTTAAAGATACTTAAACGATTCTTAAAAAGTGCCGTGGGGTCTTCTCACGATAGCAACCCCCCGGCTGACCCATCTTGCGCAATCAGCATCCTCTGTGTGTTGGAGTCATTTGAAGCAGGGTCAACCAACGTTGGGACAAAAGGTCTACGAGGGGATTGGGGCGGTGTATTTTGGCGATTCAGAAAACAGTCGCCCGGGGGGGTGTATTCGCTAGGTAGTGGTTAATGTTACAGTAGGGAAGGGAAGATTTTTTATTGAAACGGGAACGCGCTTAGGTAGTAGGGATGTGGATTTTGGGTCGACCAGTGCTGAGGCTTCGACGAAACATTTTTGCCACGTCACATATAATATTATCTACCCCGCTGACGCCAGCTTTGGTACAGGAAATAGTGGGCGCGGCTCTGGGATTTGGCGATGTTTCAAGATGAAGATTACTGTAGGATCCGCCTCCCCCCTGTTGGCAGAGGGCAGAGGGTTGAAGGCATGGCCGTGAAGGGTTAACCCTGAGAGGAGGTCATTACGAGGCCCTCCGGGAAGGGAAAGGGGGGAGTCGTAGAATCTTCGAAATTGGTTCTAACTTGACGGTTGACCCTGCTTTAAAGTTCTTCGCATGCAAGAATTGCGAATACCGCTACAGTAACTACAAAGCCTATATTCTCATCGTCAATTCTATAAAAGTAATGTTCATTCGGTTCTGGTACCGGGTTCTATTTTAGATATCAACCCGTAAGCTATAAGCTGATATCACGAAGTGGAGATGAGGCCCAGTTCAAGGACATGGTGGATCGATGCAACAAGGTTGGAGTGAGGTAAGGCGTTTACTCGTTCTGAAAATGATGAATTCTTCAGAACCCTTCTGGATTCTGTGAATTTGAGCTCAAAAGCATCTTCTTGATAAGAAAATGTTGAAGGTAGCAGTAATTTAGAAATAAGTATATCGACGAATGACCTAACTTTACCTCATACCTCTTCTTCTTTTCCTCTCATTCCTTATCTCTGAGAGACGTAAAGTGCCGGTTTGCTACACGCGAACAGCCACTTCAGCGGTCGTGAGAGAGATCGGTTATTTCAACTGAATTAGCAGAAATTCGTAGCGCTAACCAATTTCGTTACTGGCGAGCTTCCTTGATTATCTTTAGCTCGCGGCCTAACTACGACTAAATTGAAAAGCGTACGTCAAAAATAAAAGAACAGCGCAAGCGCTGGAAACATAGTCATTGTTTTAAAAATGAGCAGCTTTGAAGTTAGACTTCGGAGAACAAAGGACTTAGGGCGAGATTATAGCTTGAAAGTGTTAAGGCGATGGTTCCTTTAGACGGACTGGAAACATGACTGCCTGTTGCGCCTTGATGGATCTCTTGTCCCACGAGACCCTGCTCAGTAACTGCCCGGGGCGAGGGGGATTCGATTGCGGATCCGTTGAGGATTTATTTCCTTATCAAGGTGAATTACAGTCTTGCAGACTATTTGACTTTCTGATTAATTGCCTTCCTATTGCGGGTTGAAGCAGGACTCAACGATAAGGTCGAAGGTCGCAGAAGAGGTAAATTACATGTGGAAAGGCAGGTGGGCTTGCTTAAAAGTGCGGGAGTGTGTGCGCAGTGAAGAGGTTGTCCCGATCAGCCTAGCAGGGTCATACCCGCGCCGCTTGTGCCGCTGCCTCGCCGTCTAACCGTAGCCGCTCTGGCAGAGAGAGCGTCAGCTTTGACGAGGTCATATCTGAGACATGGCCCAAACTCAAACAGGGTCAACCGTCTTCGAACTGTTCGAACGGGGGGGGGGTCGCATTTGTGTCCTGGGAGGGGAGAGGGGTCGCATTGCGCAGTTCTGCTGGTTACTTCTGGTCATCAGGGGCGTAGGGGATAGTGTCGCGTGCGGAAAAAGTGGGTGGAGTTTCGGAGTTCTAGGTAGGTTTTGGGCTGTGTCAACTGGTTCTCAGAATCGAATACTATAGAATACTATAGAGAGGTCGAGGTGGCGGGGAAGGCTGGTTGTATTGGGGGGGGTCGCAACTGGACCCTTCTCGAGAGGGGGTCGCAAAAATCCCGAAAATGTTCGAACGTGACGGTTGACCCTGCTCTCAAATCAACGGGCAAAAGGGCCATTTCTAAGGTTCTAGGTTATTTTTTCTGAATTTTTTCTTCATTTCGTGTGTCACTGACCACATCTGCCGGATTCCTAGTGGGGCGTCCTTTTATCGTGGACTCCGCCTTTACCAAATAAGTTCACACTTTTGGTTTGCATATTGATCAGATCAGGTGTGTATGGGCAACCTCTTGCCAACAAAAAATATAATTTTTTCTCAACATTCAGAATTATCGTTGATGTCGTCATGAATCACATGGTTGGGGTAGGCCAGAAATCTGGTGTGAATGAGCGTGGTTCCTACTGCTGGCAGTAAATACGACGGAACGGACGGACTTGAATCATTTCCTGACGTAAGCGCACCCATATTATACTATTTTTCATGGCATTTAACGAACGGTGAATCTTTTGAGGTACCGTACACGTCCGCTGACTTCAACGATTTTCGATGCCACGGTGACATTCAAGGAAGCGACTATCAGAACAGCGCTGAACATGTGAGTTACTGATCTTCCCCCACCTCGTTTCAAATCCTCTTTTTTTTTAAGGAGGTGATTAGTGTGATAAAATTGCTATCATAAAATGGTGAGTCATAGAATGGGGCCAAGAGTTAAGGCAGTATTGAAGTTAGCCAACATTACGGCACTCTAGTTGTGAGAACCAAGTACTACAAGTTGCACACATGTGAGCCCCCCCCCCCACTCCCCTGATTTAGGTCTCACCGATACACTTCCTCCGACGCCAGGAAGGTGCCGATGAAATTGTGGTAGGACTTACATCGTATCCGAAATTTTTTTTTCGTAATTGATGTCGAAGGAGGGGCAGGGGTACAACCAAACAGACGAGTGATCCTTACTATTAGTAGTGTGGCTTATCTGAAATGCCATCTTCAGCTTTCTTTGCGTGCCACCTGAGCTGCAGTTAAAGGCGCAACTCAGGAAAAAATCGAAGGTATGGTTCCCCACAGTTTGCAGACCCCCAGAGAACAATCACAGGTGCGGCACTCCCGTGCATGGAAATCGCCACGAGGGCGCTGAAGCCTTGCAAAGATAGCTGCAGCAGCTTCAGTTCCCCTGTCTGCAGCAGGCTGTTGTCTGGCGCCCTCTCACCTGTTACGCTCTCTCCTATCCCCTCGTCTCTATGCTCATCTCACATCGCCTGAGCACAGCCAACTGAAGTAATTCACCAACACCTTAGCTAGAGGTTTCGACTCTTATCCTTCTTTCTCACTACCGGCCCCTCAGCGAAAAACTTTCATATCGTTTTGCAAGCTCTACCAGTCTGGATCCTGGAGCATGCCTTTATAATCCCTAGACAGATTCCCGATCGAGTGGTTTTTGGATTTATTATAATCCGACATCTGCAATAATTTTGGATCATAGAGATCATATTCAGCATACTACGTAATTTAGAGGTGAAAAACTGTCGTCTCAGTGGACTGCTGGACTTGAATCAGGGCGACGCTACGGTACGTGCTAAGCTGACCGCCTACCTGAATAAACTGATTGATTACGGTGTAGCGGGCTTCAGGTGAGAATATTTTTCTGTTCGTAAAACAGAACTGGCCCGTTTTTGATTTTCCAATTTCAACTTCACTTGGAACTATTCAGAAGAACTAAATCCATTCTCTCAACATTTTCAAGGTGCGATGCATCGAAACATATGTGGCCTGGCGACCTGGGAGCCATTCTTAACGCAACGAAGAATTTGAGGGAAGATGTGAGTCTAACTATTTCAAGGAAGGCAAACCCATACAGGGATGTTTCACAAGAACGCTGGGCTATGAATACCTTCACCCCAGGCGGCGGGACTCGAGTAGCATCTCTCGCTTACTGGGCAAAGACGCTACAAACGGGATGGTTTTGCGGGTTAGGAGCTCGTACCTCGCGACGGGAGTTTTGTTCATAACCCAGCAGTATTGTTGGAACATTCGCAAACACAACTGTATGACGTTAACATTTAGTTATTCAAAAAAAAACTTTGGACACTAATCACAAGACATCAATGGTGCAACAAACTGTAAAGGATCCAGGAATTTCAGTTATGAAAGTCTTTAGTCTCCTGATAAACAAAAGCATACAGTCGTGGCATAGGCAGAAGGCATGAGGCGCAAATTTCTTCTCCCTCCAAACTTTTGCATGGGGTTATTCTGGCCCAACCTGTAGTCAAATTAAGCCAGCTCTCGAAATGGCTGCCATACTATGTAGAGATCAACGGCATCTAATCCGGTTCTAGTAAACGTCTGCCGAACATCAAGAAAGCTGACCAAAACGGAATACAAACATGCGAACTACTCATTGTTGCTCTGTTGCTGCGGCTTCGGATAGGTTGCAAATGAATGGACTTATGGGATACGCCACGCCTTATTGGGATACGCCCACGCATTTCCCACTTCATTGTCGAAGTTATACTGTTATAGCTGAATACAATTGACGCCTTACAAAAAACATGTTGTTGCCAACCAATGTATGAGTCAGGCATTTTACCCCCCCACCACGCGTTCTTACCTGGTGTTCGCAAACTCAAAGCACGAACGTACTTTTCCATGACTGTTGCCTGAACGAGTAAACGTACTCGTTGGTAACCTTTAACACAGTATTAGAAAGGAGTGTACAGCGCGCAGTTAGCAGAAGCAGTGTTGAACGAACGTCAACGTCGAAAAGCAATCATTAAGTTATGTCACTTCAGCTCCCTCGTCTTTAAGTTCTGCACACCGGTGTAGTACCATTTTTGCTACCTCGAAAGCGCAGAAGAGGTTTTTTTGTGGCCTGGAAGAGATTCTGGGAAAGGTTTGATCGCAACGAGGAACGCATAGCAAGTAGCGCAAAGTCTCGCTATCCACCGAAGCTCGAAGTGTGGTATATGATATTACTGCTGTTATTAATTCTGAAACATACTTTAGAAGTGAAGGCAAACATTTATTTTGAATGAGTTTTGAGTGGCTATACCAATGCTGTTTTCCTTCTGCGTATTACCCTTAATACCTTTGAAACTTTTTTGAAGAAACTGTTGATTTTCTGACTAGACAATGTAGCCTTCTAGGTAAAGCGAACGCCAAAACAATTCCCGGTTCTGGAGTTCTCGATCTCAGTTTCGACAGACCTTTCCTACTTGAATTTTTTTTAGATTTTCGGTTCTAATCAGCGCCCATTTGTTGTACACGAAGTCATTGACAGGGGTGGAGAGGCAGTGAAATGCACCGATTACCTCGCAATTGGAAGGTAAGCGAGAACATAGGATTAGTATGAGGCAGGGCAAATCGAAATCCACAAAATCAAAGTTCAATGGACCGCATACCTTCAATAAGTGAGCAAATAGTTTCCGTTCAGGTATACAAACTTCAACTTCGGCGCCGCCGTTTCATCAGCCGCCAAAGGACAAAGCGACTGGAAGTGAGTTGCTGAGATCATAACTCGGAAAAGAAAACGAAAGGTAGTGGGGGGGCGGGGGGGGGGGTGCTCGTCATTTATTGCGCGTGTACCAGCCATCCACAGACCAAAAACTGAACTGTTCGAGAGAGTCGCGGCGATAGGGAAATGAATCACCTCCAACTAAATTTTGCGCTTGGTTTCTGCAGACAGTAACTTCTGTCCCTTTATGAAAATATCATTAATATTATTGATATGTCACCAAAGTTGTTCAAACTTGTCACTTTTAGGCTGCTCGCTCATCTGGGCCCTGGCTACGGGTATGGCAACAACGCAGACAACGAAGTACTGAACTTCATAGACAACCATGACAACCAGCGGGATTCCAACCCCTATGTGGTACTTTTTATGCTTTTTTGCGGCATTATTTCTAGTTGCTTCTCAAAATGTAACGATGGTTGCTCTCAAAGATTAGTCTATGTAAATGAAGAATAGAGAATCAAAGTGTGCGTTAGCTCATCACAGTGAATCGGGCTGCTGGACGTAGCGCTGCGTCAATTCACCACTGGACGAAGGAACACAAGGTATGGTAAAAGGACTTTTTGCTTGAAGCAACAGTCCCAGCAAAGGGTCGTTTACTCCGACTCTAATGGTGTTGAACGATGCACTAGCCCTAGTCAAGAACAAGAAAGTGACTGAACAAAAAACTCACATTGGAAGGACGCTAGAAAGGGGAGGCCGAACAGCTTTCGAGGTGGGCGTGGTTGTGCAATCCCCCTAGCTCGTTCCAACTACGCCCACCACGAAGCCGTATCTTCAACCACCTTGGTTTGCCGAGCCAAGCTTCAGCCTCAATTTCTAGCGGTTCCAAGGTCGAGTGGACCATTGGTGCTAAACGTAAAAACCCTGCTGGAACTTTTCACAAGAATACTGGGTTGTGAGCAAAACTTTCGCCCAGGCAAAACTCGAACCCGCACCTTTCGCTGTTCGAGCAAGCGCGCTACCGGTTACACTTCCGGCGCACCATTTTCATTCACTCAAGCTTTTCATGGTTATGAACTGCGGCCTCAAAACAACAGTTAACAATCAAAACTGCTGGAAATTGTTACTGTTACGGTGCGACTTTAAATAACATCTTAATGAATCAGGCCACTTGGTACAGTTGCTGATCATAGAAACATGCTTATTATTGAGTGTTTTTCTGACACCTTGTACCGAAAGGCAGAAAAGTAGAGCCTGCCCTGCAAAAGCATAGAAACCAGCCAAAATAATGTATTCGGCTTAGAAATGCTTGATTTTGTTTTGAGTTCTAAAGTTTTGAAAATACGTACAATTTTAGGTCACCTATAAAGATGGAGACCAGTATCGCTTGGCTATGGCTTACATGTTAGCGTGGCCATATGGCTATCCTAGAGTAATGAGCAGTTTTCTACTTCACTCTGCATGATCAAGGACCACCAAATTCTTGGACATCGCATGGATTTGCGGTCCGTTTATTTTGAAGCAGGCCATTCAATTATTGCATAAGATTGAGAAGTTCTTCATGCCTTTGATTTGGCGAATCATTCTGAAGTCTTGCAACCGCAGACTATTACAGACAACTTCGCCAACGTTCAATAGCCAGGATCAGACTTGTAACCCGAATTCTGGATGGGTATGCGAACATCGGTGGCCAACATAAGGTAGAAGAAAAGTCTTGGCTCAAAAAGTCGTCAACATTTTCATAATTTTCAGAGAAATGACCAAATTCCGCTCAGCCGTGCAGGGAACTGCTGCAACAGAGGTGAAGTTTCAAGCACTTTTCTTGAACTGCTGCATTAATGCTGACTTACAGAATCAGCTTTCCAGTAGGGAAAATATTCTTGGACACAGTTTCGAAATCTGAAATTTTTCTGGGTATTAACTCTGAAATTTTTCTGGGTACTAACAGGATTTCTTCATGTTATTATGTTGTTTCCTCTGTGCGTCTTTCCGTGGTGTTTTCCTATCTTCCCATTATTTGGGACAGTCTTGCTGTAAGGGTAGTCGGTGAATTGGGAGCCACAGGTCAGAGTTAGCCATGGTCGAGGACTCTTCAAGTGTGGTCTTGTTGGTAGGAGGGGTCGTGGATGGAACCGGATAGGTGTGGAAATGAAGTAGCGGTGCAAAACGTGGTCTACAGGCTGAGCAGCCTCACTAACCTACTCCCTCAACTGCAGTTTTGGAGGCTTTTCGTGCAGAGTTGGAGTGAGTCAACACCATCGGCAATTGGGCGGTGGAGGAGGAGGTTGGACCGTAACCTCGATGCGTCCGTTGGAGCGGAGAGGGTCAAACTGCCAAGATCATTTTCTGGACGCGATGTCTACCATGCTAGGTGCTCGTATATATAGGGGAAAACATTTGAGAAATGAGCCAGTGATATAGCTTGAGACAAAGCCAAAGGGATGGGAAAGATCATCGTGAGCGATTGAGCGATTTTCGTTTCTCCCTGGTGCTTCTCCCATCACCTGGGCTTAGTCCTAGTATCCACTGATCGAGTTTTTCCAGAGGCTCTTTGTGAATGTCCCTCCTCTTCCACAAGGCCATGAGTGCCCCCTGATAAAGATTGCGCATCATCGCTCATTGGCACTAAAGGATCCCAGGCGATGCTGAGCCAACACTGTTAACACCAGAGGCGGAGTTTGCGACGAAAAGGCAGTCCAGGAATCAAGCTAGAGGTGGTTAGTAGTGCAGGCATGAAGAAAAAACCGACGGCTTAACCTCAAAAAATGGCCCTTCTTTGCCGTTGATTTCCGCATTGATGCGACTCTCATCGGTGCTGCCCTCTTCAACGCTAACGCTCTCTCTGCTAAACGGCTAGAGTCAGACGGCGAGGAGTTACCTATCGGTGGGCGTGCAGAGGCGCGTACGGCGCGGGTACGGCCCTAGTAGGAAACTGAGGGCGTACTCTTCACTACGAAACGCGCATCGTCCCGCACCCTCAAGGGCCCGTCTGTCTCTCCACCACAAATATTTCCCCTCCTTCGATCTTTGACCTTATCATTCGAACCCTCGTTTAGTAATAAATCAATAAATCTGCTGAAAGTAGTAAGTCATTGTCATCAATCGCAAATTTTATTCAGATATTTACCGATTATCAACGAATTGCTTTTGCCAGGGAAGGAAAAGGATTTTTCGCTCTCAATGGAAACAGCAGTCCCTTCAGCAAGTGAGTTCATGAAGCAATAATTTTTCTAAGTTTTTTTTTTGGGCCTCATAGCTTTCCATGTCTCAGCGCAGCTTGGAAAATTACATACTTGCAATTTTCGGTATTCGTCGTCACTTCACTTGTGAACGCCAGCAAAACCATTAATTTCTGATTTTTGTGGTGAGGGCCAATCATTCTTAGGTGATGTACCAACTCGGGGTTTTTCCCATAGTACCTGAATAACCGTTCGTGACTGGTGTTTCTGAACTGGGTCTTGCTAAAGGAAGAGGAAATATTCGTACGAGAGAAGAGTGTTTTCTAGACTAGAAAAAAATTTCTTCACCAAAACTCGATGAAATGGCTGAAAATGGAAGGTCCAACCTCACGCAGAGAAAATTCACTAGTGTCTGAAATGCTGCTTGTGCGATGCAAGCCAAAAACACAGTCGAATAGCGATGAGTGAACCCTTTTCCCAAGAATTTGTGAGATACTGCCTATGATTCCTTATTAAAATCAGATTCTTCCAAACAACAATGCCCGCTGGTGATTACTGTGACCAATATGCTGGCAGCCTGCAGAATGGTAAATGCACAGGCCAAACGATTACTGTAAGAGATGACGGTGAGTGATTTCAACTACAGAATAAGCTCCAAAGTTTCTCAGATCAAATTTGTAGGACCACAGCGGTCGATAATGGAGTTGTAGATGCCGAGTAGAATAGAAATAAAAAATGGAGCAAAGAAAACCGTCCATGAAGCTCTAGAAAAGGGATTCTTCTTAAAATAATGAAGGGTGGGACCAGACAGCCAGAGTCATCCAATCTTGCCTTTCCACGGCCCAATAAAACGCGCTTTATTTTGAATTAGACGCTACGCTTGTAATCACGTTTTGCGTATCGTGGTGTTATCGCGCGACGTAACTGTCCATACGTTCAGATGGTCGCCACAAGGTCACTTCGGAAGACCCTAGAGCTTTCGAGCCGCAAAAACAGCACACTGTGGCATGGGGGGTAAGTGGGCTACCCTATTCCATTCACTGATTATATTCTTCGCGTGACTTCTACTGGGGGTGTTGCTTTAGGAATAGCAGGATCTCAGATTCGAAACGGTCTTGCTTGAAAAGAGTTTTGAAATATCTAAATCGTCATTACTCTTGTTCAGGAACCGCCTTCGTACAAATCAATAGCAAACAAGCTGTCGCCTTCTCACTTGCTTCTCGAATTAGGTATTTGCGTCAATTTTCTGAAGGACTGAACTCATGATCAATCCGGAGTTACAGGTGGAGCGCCACCGACACCATCACCGCCAACCGGATATCAAAAGACCATAATATTCATCAAGAAAGACACCTATCAGGGTCAAAATATTTTCATCCGTGGTGGTGTCAGTCACGCCAACAAAGACGGTAATGAAGGAGATCTGATCCACGTAAACTTTTTATTAAAATGATCTTTTTCAGTCTGCTCTCCCGGACCAAATCAACAAGCGAATGATCCGTGCGCTATTCCTATTGTGCACAACACCTCTGTGCCATTCGTCTATGCCGAATACATATCTTGGAGTCAAGGAGATCAATATCTGGACTTCGAGGGATCTGAAGAGAGACAGGGTTTGCACATTTTTTCATTATTTGAACCATTTGGAGCTATTTTCACCTTGAATGTTCCCTCTTTCTTGTGGCTACTGATCTTTTTGGAGTGAGTATGACACAATTCCTCCAGTTGACAAACGTTCTCACAAGATCAGTAAGTAGATTCAAAACTCTGTCAACCGCAATGGCACACAACTTAGGGAAGACGTTCAGTTCACCACTAAAGGCAGGTCGGAGCTGCACGATCATTGAAGCCTAAGTTGTGCTATGGCCTAGGCTTAGGCTTGTGGTAACCATTGGCTTACGCTTAAGCCTACGGTTGGGCTCAGGCTTATGGTTAGTCTTAGGGCTGTGCGAGTAGATGAACAGCGTCCTAAATATAGGTGGCCTGACCTGACAAGAAAGACTCTCAGGTCGCCATGGCCATTCAAGAAGTGATGTATACGACGTTAGATGTGCCTTTGAACGCTGATCTCAAATCTACCTTCCAAATCTGTCTAAATGATTCTCTGAATGGGAGTTATGAAGCAAAGCAGCGCAACGGCAGTGGTCGAGATTCGCAGTCAAAGCGTTCCGTTAGATCAGCCCTGCGCGCGTCAACTTTTGCTTTTTCAGTAGTACGCCTGAAAGGCTTTAAATAGCCTATTTAACCTAATTCCTGAACAAGCAAAAGTCAGTAAGCGCGATCAGGGGCCGATCCTACGACGTTTTGACTGCAAATCCCGACCACTGCCGTTGCGCTGTTTTGCTTCATAACTCCCTTCAGAAAATCGTTTAGCAGATTTGGAAGGTAGATTTGAGATCAGCGTTCAAAGGCACATCTAGCGTTGTGCATCACTTCTTGGATGGCCATGGCGACCTGAAAGCCTTTCCTTGTGAAAAGGAGTGGTGACACCCACAACTTGGAGTGCCGTTCATTCCAGTGATTCTGTGAAAAGGGTCAAGTTCTCCGCAGGGGCCAGATTTGCGAGAGTCAACCTGATCCGCTCGACTACATCACTCTTTGTTCTCATCTGCTCTGTTTTACCCAGAAGCTTACAGCTGCATTAGATGCTGAGGCAGGTGCTATATCTGGTTGCTGTCCGACCTTTCGCGCTAACAATAAGACCATGGAGTTACAGGTACACTGAGCGCAAAGAACATAATGGAGCGCCTGATTCAGTGAGAAAAAAATACTCACGGTATACTACATATCAAAGTAATAGTCCAATCTGACAACAACTCAGATAGACCTGCAGGGGAAACCTCCGAGTACGCCGCGCAGATTCCCGTCGGCAGCCCACTTAGTCTATGAACTGGCCGGCTCGCGGTGCACACAGTAACCCGGTGTGCTCCGACCTGCTGCCGGCCGTTTCGGAGGTTCCTCCTGCAAGCCTGCAAGTCTTCGATCCCCATAGCATGAGCTTTCCTTTTCACAGGAACGTACGATGGTGCCGCTCCTTTTGGTACTCCACTGGCGTATTCAACGAACGATGCTACAGCTATAGAATATCAGCCTTACAATAAATATGGAAGTGGTTATTGGATGGTCCAACTCCTGGTCGATTGTAAGAAGACTGATCAAGGCTGGTTCGAACTCAAGGTGAGCAAGAATTTCCATAACAAGAACGTAGTAATCACAAGATGCATCTTTTTCAGGGATACCTTTCGCCGTCGGTCGGTTGGGAACAAGATATTAGTCAGAAGAAATGTACCGGCGCAGTGGGCGGATCCGCACCGTTTTCGTCGAAAAATCACGTCGCAAAATGTGGAGCGGTTAATGTGTTCACATGGGGTGGTGGTGACTGTATAATAGATTCTGTCTGAGTAATTCATGATTACTGAATAAATAGCAAGCGTCTCAGCGGAAACTCGTACCGTGTTATTTACTTTGTTTTGTATTGTTATTTTTCGTATTATTTTACTTTTTGACATGGCTTTTTTCGAATCCGAAAGCGCATTCCATCAGGTCCATGAGTCAACCTTCCTGAGAACTGTATTGCTGGGTAAGCAAATCAGGCATAAATAATTCCAGTTTCGCGGCTTAAAGCGTGTAGTAAGGGCACTAATGGCTTGGGACCTCTAACCGTGGAAACCCCAAGCAACCCTATAGACCTGTTGCCGTAATGTCTGTGCCTCACATGTACGCTATGCTCTTTCGTCTCCGAATCTACTCTCCCAACCAGACTAGCAAAACCTCCTACATAGACCAACTGTCTGGCAAACTTGCCCATCCTTATGATGTTAAAGGCACTTGCTAAAATGTATTCGCTATTTCTTCATTTCTTTCTTTGCTTTCCTTCCAGTTACGTTTCGCAATTAATTTTTACGCGGCGAACATTATGGGGTAATGCGTATGCCCATTAATCCTTGGTATACGTTATTTCCTTTTGGGAATGTTCTTTTCCAAAAGTGTATGACTCCTTCACAAAAATAGGTGCGGTTCTAGAGGTATTTTAAGTGATCTAAAATTGGATGTACTGACACACACCCAAGCGACATTTCTGGGTCGAGGTCAGCACATCACGTTGTATTCTACCAACAGAATTACTTTTGAGCTGATGAATAAACACTGGGTCTCCTAATGACACAGAAACCCAGAAATTGTTCGAGATCTCGTACTCCACGGGTACCCCCAGGAGGCCCGTCGCGCGGCAAGAAGGCAAAGTCAGCGGACGAGTCGCGCGCACTATAGGGATTTCGCGTCAAGTTAAATAGAGTGTCCCATTGCACGTCCTACATCGCACATCACGCGCTGCAACTCGTCCGCCGACTCTGCCTTCTTGCCGCGCGACGGGCCTCCTGGGGGGGGGGGGGGGTACGTATTCCACAGATTTGTGGAAAGTTGTCGAGTCAAAAAATGTGTCAAATGGTTGCGAATTCGAAATTCAGCACCAATTTCCAAGTTGAAAATGCCAAAAAAACTTCATGCTAATTTTTCCAAGAAAGATCGCTTTTCCATTGTCTCCAAATGATACAGCCACCCCGTGTTTCTTCGTTGCATTTCATTTCTGCTCGATGAAACTGATTGGCAGTCTCAATTTTTCTTTTTAGGTTATCAGGAAAGGAAAGCAACCGTTGGACTTTGAAAAAGGGCAAATCGTCGTGAAAAAGAAGGATTAAGCGCCAGGTGGTCACACTGCGCGAGAATTTGATGCAAGCTTTGAAATGCTTGGCAATTTCTCTCTGAATCACTGTAGTAAATGGGACTAGGAAGGGCTCCAGACGTTATACTTTGCTTTTAGATCGAGATAGGCGTCATAATAAGAAAACCACCAATTTCATCAAAGCATAGCTCGGTCAAAGTCATCCCCTTAAAGGAATCTTGCGCGGAAAAATCATGATTCTATTTCAGCCATAAATCACTGGCTTGAGACTCATTATCCACGATAATAGTGAAAAGAACTGAAGTATTGCTTTCGTTTTGATTAGAAATTCGAAAACTCGAAAAGGCTGCTACGCGTTCGAATTGCCCACGGACGTCTTTCACGAATGCTGGCGACGGGGATGCTCAAACTTGGTTCTTGGAGTGCATTCACTAGAAGCTCTTTCTGGCCTTCTGCTTCGTTGCATTCACATCTTACACTTCTATTCCATCGATCGATTTGTCTCCACTCTCCGAAATCGCGCGCTTTAACCCGATTCTCTCATTGCGTCGCCTGGTACGTAGCCGGCCAAACGCCGTCTTCTTTCCATGCCTCGCCTGGCTCTGCCTCCTGGTCCTTCGATGGTCCATAACGTGTAGTTTTTGTACGTTTGTTTCTCTTCAGAAACCGAATCTTCATGCGTGAAACTTTGTGTGCTATTTCCAGTGATCACAACTGACATATTCATGTTAGGAAAGAGTGCAAGAATTTTCCGCGCAAGATTCCTTTAAAGGAAGCGATTACGATAGATCTCAAAGGGGTTTAGAGGGGACGTGGGGGTCTCAATAGTACGCCAATGGCGAAAAAAGCAAAGAAATCCGTCAAAAATAAGCAAAATAGTACCCCTTTGATTGCCCTTTCATTTTCGACCATGGATGAGCGACGGTAAAGAACGACGTTGTTCGGACGTGTTAACCCCGATAGCCGCCATCATGCCAACAAGCATAGTGTTTTGATTGATAAGGCAATACGTGGGCAAGTTGGAAGATACAGCCGCTAGAAGGGAAATGATCATCCAAAATGAAAAGCCAACAGCAAACAGTCCATCCAGATCATCAACAAAACTAGTGGGCGTCACGTCACTGGGGGCGGGGCGTCACGCGGGTCCTGCTCAGCAACCACAGCACCTTTCGCCGTGGGAGGCCACACATCGCTTCCTTGGCAGCCAAGTAATTGCTCCGTGTGGCGCAGGTTCTCCCCGATGCGAAAATTCCTTATCGTAATCGCTTCCTTTAAACTTAATCTTTCACTAGATAGTAATTGTACTGATGGACTTCCAAGATTGCTCTTCAGCGGAAGGTGAAAGGATCGTGTTTCTGAAAAGAAAGCGTCGCGAAAACCGAGAACGCGGAATGCAGGAATGTTTGTTCTTGTACTTATTCAAAAGAGCTCGAATAATATATGCTATTTTGGGGAGGCATAGAGTTCTCAAGCAGAACTATAAAGGTAAAAGCACCCATTGTTAGAATGGTTTTCGTTGAACTTCTTTGTTTGAGCAAGGCATGCGATAAGGATTGCAGCATCTTCATTCAACTAAACACTGCGCAGTTCTGAGCGGTATATGACGGCCATCAAACGAAATTTCTGGAAATTTGTACTACCAAAAAATAGAGGTAGATTCACACAAATCAGGTGATGCACATCTTTGAGCACTTCTGGTTCAGCAACACTTCCACTTGAAGTTTGATTGTGGTGCGAGGAATGAGTTATTAGCTTGGATGTTTATTGAAGAAGCTGAATGCGGCGGTTCTATACATGTATGCATGTTGAACCGCTTATCCAACGCCTAATGTCTGTTTTGGAGCTTGACTTGTTTTCTGACTTCGATTTATGTTGATGACTAACAAACTTCCAGAATTTCAACATGATCACAAAAGTTTCATTTTTACAGTTACACTCTATCAAAATTCATCTGTGATTACAGTCAGTTGGTGTGTGTTGGGCACCAGTTGCACTTCTCATTATGGACACAATCTTAAGCGTTGGCTCCCTAATTTGTTTCTTGATTCGCAGAATCGATAGTATATATTCACGGTAGTCCTTGAGAAACACAATAATTAGCACCGGACTCGAAGCCGGAAAGAGCGCAAACAGTGTGCTCATCATACATGACAAAATTGTGGTGGAAGTAAAGCCGAAAAACAGAAAGATGCAAGCGACGAAGCATGGTCCATGGAGGAGCAGGAGTGGACATGTGGTCTGAAAAATTGCACCAAATATATCATCATATATGGAAGAAACAAAAGACGGAAAGAAAACTGAGCAGCCAATGTATATGCTGCTTCAAAAGTATGCCCCGTTCCGACATAGACTTTCAGAATTTCATACATTTTTGAACTCGTCTTCATCATAAACCATATTCATCAGAACTGTTCATAAGTGTCGTCTATCTACTTGCAGACGGATGGATACATTTTCCCACGCTGAGCAGTTGTCAACGCAAAAATAACTGATTGAAAATACGTTTCGAGGTGTCGCGGTCGTAGTTGGAGCTCAGCAGGTAAAAGGAATACTGGTGATTGGCTGGTAAATGATCAGTGGCTGTAGAACAATTCCACCCATTGGAAACCACTACTTGAGTTTTGCTGAATTTTGATGCATGTCCACGCAGCTACATACCGTAGGTGTCTGCTCAAGCAATGGGAATATCTGTTGAGGCTTATGATGGTGCAATTCAATATTTAAGGAGCAGAACCTCAGTGAGGTAAAGGTCAGCTCTTGGAAATCGTTACCGCTCTGAGTCGTCCTCACTGAAGCCTTTGTAAATTGCCTGACTGCACTATTTTCAACGCCAATGACCCCTTCCACTGCCTGATCGAAGCTACGCCTTGTCAACGCCAAGTTTTGCAGATGTCAGCAGGTATTCTCCGTATGAGCCCATCCAAGGATTGTCTCACGGGGTGTCTTTGAGCAGCTGTTGGATGTGTTCAATAGCTACTGTCAATGGAAACTAGAATCTTGAACTCTGCGAATATTTCGAGAGGCTTTCTCTCTGGGTGCCCCATACAATTAAGAAAGAAAAACCATTATAAACAAAATAATTGATACGGTTCGTTTCGCTCCTTCCTCAGACGAACCTTATTATTTCGTCAATCCCCGGAGCTCATCAGTGAGTTGGGATTGGCGAAATAAAGACACAGGGGAAAGACGAATAAACCTTGATGTGACGTACAAATTTATCATGCAGAGGAGCATGCAATGAAATTAATTGTATGTTGAATTAAGTGGAGTATTGGAATGCAAATTGGTTGCAAAATATGAAATCAAAAAGGTTGAAGCATTCATAATTGTTCCACTGTAAATGTAGTAATTCAGTGACTCCACTAATTTATTAATATCTTTGTGATTACTAGGAATTTGTAACATATAAACTTATTCTTCATAAATGCACTTAACTATATTAGATATAATAAAGTTCTCATGGTAACCATTTCCTAGTAACACTCTTATGAACTCTGTTAGTTTATCAGTAAATGTGTCAAATACGGAACAAGTGTTAGCTATTCTAGTGTTTCAGTGTATATAACAGAGCCTTTATTGTTTATGGAGATATTCGTGTCATTATGTGGAAATCTAATAATACTGAATGTCTAACTTAAATGTGTTTTCTTCAATTCAAGTGTATTCATATACACTTCTGCTAGCTGTATGTCAA